CCATCCTGCAAAAGCAAGGTTCAGCTCGGCGTCTCTTCTCTCCACCGCGTTGCTACCACGAGTGTCAAGTAATGCTCGGAGGGATTGCAATAATAGACTCATGCTTTTTTAATGCATAGTGTGATTGTGCAAAGCTCTCTCTACTCGCAGTGGAAATATAGTGTTTGTTTAACCAAGGCAATCAAATCAACATCACACAAAGTCACTAGATCAACAAACCAAACAACAAATGTGTGTCTATTAAGTTATTGTTGAAAAAACATTTAAATTTGAAGTAATGAACCGAACAAATTTAGTTTTTATGATCACGACTGAATCTGAGACATTGTTACCTCGAGCTGAGATGTTGTATTTTCAGTATATCCGTCCGTCTGTCAGCAGGAAACTTAAAACCTTTACTGAGGTGAATATTTGTGAAGGGGATGGATGGATGGAGATGGGACATGACCGAGAGGAGAACCCATTACATACTGAATCAGAAGCAGATAAACTGGCAGATTGGGGATCACTTTCTTTAACATGGTGAGATAGTGCGCTATCCTTGGCCAAGTTATCCAAATGTCCTTCCAGTTATCTTTCAAATCAGTTTCTCCACCAGATTAGAATTTCTAAATCATTTCTGGCTGGTGGAGCAAGTTTTTTTTCTCAGAATCGCAATCAGACCAACAAATACACGTTGTTGTCGCGCCGTTGTGACGAGAGCATTGTAGAAGATCCATTATCTCTGCCAGACAGATGTTCTGTGGCCACGATGACCTTTCATCAAATCTCCACATCATCAATCATTTAAATTTCCCACTTCTTAAATCTTAACATGACTATTTGGAAATACCATATGGTGTGGATGCCATATTAATAGCTTAAGAAAAATCCCTCTCCTGATAAGAAATGTTCGAGGGGACGTGTTGTACCTGCGACGGCATCTGTTGTATCTCGTCTCAGCGGGGCCTCTAACAGCATGACCACCTCCCTCTCTCTCTCTCTCTCTCCTGAGCTGTGCTCCGTTTCACACTTCTACCCTCACAAGCCCAAATTCAAAAGAGCTTCGCTGGCATCAGGTTTCGAAAACCTAGTTTATATATTGAAAGCTGTACAAAAATATATTAACCATGACAGATTATTGGCAATGACGATACAATCATGTTCAAATATCAACCATAACATCAAGTATAAATAATAAAAAGAAAATGTTTACATGTGTAATGACTCCGAAACATCAAATACAAAGCATGTTTCTTTTAGTCGACAACACACTGACTGTTATCCCCACATGGATAAGGCTGTTTCGGGAAGTTGGATAAACTCTGGATATAAATTGTTTATTTTTTCCCCAAAGAAAACCTCCCTGGAATCCATATAACTCACAGCATAGTAGAAACTATGATTCTGTCTCTTTATGATTTTGACATTGCACAGACTATATGAGCACAGCCTGGCCTCCCTTGGTAGCCTGTCTTGCCTGTTCCACTGATTTCTGCTGCCAGGCTGTCTCCACTGCAGCGTCAACATTTTAGTTCAGTTTTCCATCGGTCACAGTGGTCAGGTACTCTGCCACCATGTAGCCTCTGTCTCTCTCAACTCTACGGCCCCAGTGCCACAGGGACATGGCAGCGGGAGAGGGAGAAGGGTCTGGCTGAGTTTCAGAAACATTAACGACTCCCTCGGGACACACATGCTCACGCTCTCACACACACACACACAC